CTTCCAAATTGGATTCACCTCAACATTCTCGAGCTCGAATGAACCTCGTCAAAGTTCATCATTTCACAAGACCTCAAAATTTGAGAGGTCAAATTCGGCCCAAGTAATGAATCTCCAAAGTAGATGGAGCTATGAAGGTGATGATGTTATTGGTGGAGTTAACCCTCTTAGATTGATTGAGTTGATCGTCAGGTTGTCCTCGAGTACAGTATGAATTGTTTGCATTATGGAAGAAGTAAAGTCGTCCTGTACCTTTGTGAATATTTGATTAAATTGTTGATTGTGCTATAGGTTTGTGTGAGAATGGAATACAAAAGTAGGCATGTGCAGCATAGAAAACTATTGAAAACGCTAGTTTATACACTGAAACACATTGCGTACGTTTGTGAATGATTCACGATGGTCGATTTCAATATCAGCTCGTTTTTCTCTATGTTCGGTTCGATTTAATATTGTACCTACACTGGTTCGTTGTGCAATATTATCGTTATTATTACAATTTTATTACCATTATTCTTATTGCTATGTATTATTACTAACGTTACTGCTATATTATTATTTTCGTTATATTCAGTCTTGTTCTTGCCGATATTTCCATCGATAGTAATAGTAGAAGTAATTATGATACTACTGCTAATAATAATCATACTAATTGTTATTATATAATAATAGTTACAACATAATTATAAAAACAATACAATAATAATGTTATTATTACNTATTGCTATTACTGTCAATATTGTGCTTTCTCAAACAACCGTAACGAAACATGCATAACGATCGTCTAGTAAAGAAGGCTCCGTCCCACTCTCTCGCTCATATAAAAGATTATTGATACGTTGCTCATCATTAGTTGCTGTGTTACATTTCATTTTATTGTGTAAATATATCCACAATCACATACATCATCTGTCAATATCTCACTCTTTTTATCATTTTAATCACTGCGATTCTTTCCAGCTTCTGCACTCACTACTCAAATTTGCGTTATCAACGATACACTTGCGATTCGAATCGCCGTTCATAATCAGCGCTGCTGGTTTGTACTAATCCGATCAACGACGAGATGAAATGGGTATTTCTGTGAATTATCGATTAAATTCTCAAATTTTCGTACAGTTAGATATATCGTTGTGGAATGATGTATATGCATGGATATAAATCGTTATGGAATGATATATAGATAAGATGTTAGCATGGAGCTTTGAGTTCTGAGTTCGTAATTTGAAGGAAGCCTGTTAGTGCATGTTTACATTATTCATATGAGTTCTGCTTTGAGTTGAAATTGATTTAACGTCATTGCGCTTACGGTTGTACAGGTGTTCCTGTGCGTAAGCTAAAAGCGATAAATTTCTATCGCCCAAAATTCTATCTCCTAAACGAAGTGCAGCTTTATGCTGATATCCGTGAATGTTGTTTGCTACTGCTCTGAGATCTATTGTCTGCTTATGGAAGAGGAAATATTACTCAATTGTTGAAGTTCCATCTAGTTTCTTTTCCAGCTGCGCAAAATGTTACTGAAAAATCCATGAATGCCTACATATTGTTGATGCAGAAAATAAGTTCAGCATGTTCTGAAGCCCAAGAACTTCCTATCGAACCTAACCGGCAAATTCACTCATAAAGTGTATAATTGATCACTGACTTCAATGTGATTCATAGAAGAAAAATGTGGCATCAAAGCACTGAAGGCAATTGTTTCAGTTTTTGTTTCACATCGGATATTGTGCTCTGAACATTCGTTGGGGAGTTGGGTGGATGATTGTTTTGCTGTACTATCGTAGCGTGCTTCATTTACTAATATTACTATTATTGTTGTTGTGATTATCATTAACTCATTATATATTACCTTTTATATATTCTTAAAGAA